ATGATGAAATTTCGGGAGATACAAAAATAATTACAAATTTAATAATTTTCCCTTCTGAATTTGACGCAATTTTCTTTCGACTTCAAGATTACTCTCCTCATTTCCGTCCTATTTTCGACCTGAATACATATTCATGCGCCAGCGACGTCCGCTCATCGACGCGACGCGTGAAACCTCAATTAAGACGGCTACGCGAAAGGAGAAGGTGGGTCTCTCTCGCTAGAAAAATTCCTTCCTGAAAACCCGTGAATCTACGTTCGTCTTATTCGCCAATACTTTCTCCCGGATCCTGAGCACTCCTCGCGCGAAACGAACACATTCCTCGGTCCGGTATCCTCCGCTCCCTACGAGAGAGCTCTCAGCCGCCCCGTTCCTAAGGTTATCTACCCAACTTCTCTCGTCGTTCTCCTTCGCTCACCGTCGTCCTCCCGCTCGATCGCGGCTGCTGCTGCCTCGCACTCGAATCTTTCGCGACCGCGAAGTTAGCGCGCAACCGCACTTCTGCACTGAAAGAATGATAGCTCCGCTAATAGGCGGATTAGCCGCACATAAGCATTACGATAATACGATTAGCATCGAGGAAAGATCGAAGTTAATTAATATGTTGCGCGTACTTTGCTCTCGGTGTACAATCGTATGGAGGCTTATCTCGAAGACTCCTTGATTTAAGACTGGTTTGTAGAAAATGAGCGGCCAATATAACAAACTCGGTGAGGCTCCGCTACTTTAGCTAATGCCCTGTCGATGAATTCGGAGAATACTAAAGGTATAATATAATGAACGATATCTACCTAGCCTTTCACAGTGCTATTGACCTTGATATATAACAGCCTCTTCAACGTGAAAGCAATTTTAAGAATATCCCATACGTACGAGCATGTATATGATAATCTTTGTTACGTAAAGCTTTTAATTCTATAAATAAAAAACCTACTTCACGCATATCGCTTTTGCATGCCAGATTCAACGTTCTACATACTTCATAAATTAATGTCACATTTTTCTATATCTCCATTTTTATTTCATCGCAACGGTTGTCTAGCAAACATATGCGATAAGAAGATCAAAATATTACGCGTGATCGATGATATGAACAACGGCCAAAATGCCACTCTTTCCCGGTCTCAAAACAAGTTGCCCTAGCCGTCTGACGAACGCTGTAGACGAAACCAGGAGTAGTCGAGGGCCCTGACCATGGAAAGCAGAAAGAACTCAGGAAGGAAAAGAAGCCCCGGCACCCGAACCACCGGCGGTAGTGCGCGTTCAAGGGCCCGCAATGGGTAGTGGGGCACCCGCAACGAGGGAGACAGGCCGCGCAGAGAGAGGAGAGAGGAGAGAGAGAGAG